GCTAATAGTCCACAATTGCCTAATTTTTAATGTTCTCCATCAACTTTGACCTAATGTGGAATGATATACTTTCAATTTATGCTTGCCGCATATGTCTGAAGCTTGCCTTCATGGTTATTAGTTTTCCCTCGCATTAGCAGAATGACCAAGTTGATCCCTCATTATTACTTGAATTTTGAAGTTCCCTATATATCATCACCTAACACTTGCAAATGATTAATATTTTAGACTATTACCCACTTAAATTTGATGATCATCTTCTTGATCCCTTGATCTCCCCTTTTATCATGAGAGAGACCAAGTTGATTTCTAATTATTGCTTGAAGTTTGACATTCCCATTGATCATTTCCTCATGCCTACAAATGACTAGTGCCTAACTTCCCTCAATGACAATTAATGCCTATCTTCTTGGGTCATTCGATCTCCTTTTCTATTAGGAGAGTGACCAAGCCTTCCTTCTACTGTGGCTCAATGTCCAACATTCTAGTCAACCATCTCCCTATGCTTGGCAATAATCAAAGTTTGATGTTTGTCAAACATTGATGTTTGACATATTTCTTGACAATTACTTGATCTCTTTTAACAACTACTTAATCTCTCTTCCCACTAGGAAAATGATTAAGCCACACGACTAACATCTAATACATCTTCCCTTCTATTTGTAGAATAACCAAGTTGAATGTTGACTAAGGCTTTGTTTGAGACGGCTTTCTTCATGCTTCTTAAAGTAGCTTTCTAGTACAAAAATTAAAAATTTTGTTCTAGAAAGCTGCTTTACGAAGCAGTAAGAAAGTCGTCGTAAATGAAGCCTAAGGCTTCATTTGAGATGACTTCCTGCTTTCTAAAACGTCTTTTTAGTACAAAAATTTTTTGAACTAAAAATTTTTGTACTAAAAACTGCTTTTGAAAGCATTAAGAAAGCTGTCCCAAATGAAGCCTAAGTAACTTATTGGTTATACATTCCTATATATTGGTATTTGATGTTTGTCTTCTTAATCTCTTCTTCCTATCAAAAGAAAAAACAAATGAAAATGCTCGCCCACCATCACCCAAGTCTCCCCTCATATCAAGAAAATAAACAAGTTGATCCCTTATTATAGCTCGACTTTTGAAGTCCCCCATTTATCCTCACCGAACACATGCCAATGATTGATGTAAGAAGTTTATGAGCCATCGACTTTTGAAGCCATCTTTTTGATTGCTCAATCTCCTCTTTTATGAGGAACGTGACCAAATTGATTGCTTATTATCACATAAATTTGGCATTCCCATTAATTACTACCCCGTGCTTTTAAATGACTAACATCTAACTTTCGTTAATGATAGACATCTAATGCCCAATTTTTTGGTCACTGAATCTCCTTTGATATTAAGAGAGTGAAAAAACTTATCGCATACCATAGTTGAATGTTCAACATTCCCATTGACATTCTTAAGATGCTTGCCACAAATTGAAGTCTGATATTTATCAACCACCGATGTATGATATTCGTATTAATGACCACTTGATCTTCCTTCCTATTAAGAGAATAACTAAGCCATATGTGTAACATTTGAGACATGTTAATCATCAATGACTACCAACCATCTCCCCTTCCATCATGAGAACACCCAAGGTGAATGCCTATTATTATGAGAACATTGATTGTCACCTGAAGCTTTTTCACAATTATTCTGTGCGGACGCCGAATGTCGTTTCGAGGCCAATCAAAATGCGCCACGTCATCTCTTCACTCAATACCATAGCTTGGCTCCACTGACGTGGCTGCACCTAATTTACCTCCGGACGTATAACAGCGTCTGATGTCCGCACAGAATAATTTCTCCATATAGTGATGATAATTGTGATACATTTATGTTTTTATGTAGAGGAATGATGCCCATTGGTCAATGCAATGTTCACTGATCCATAAATATTTAGACTTGTATTGATAACCTTAATTGCAACGAACAACCATAAATTAATTTCGTCAACGAACAACTTATCTACTTTAACAATCTCGATGATTTTAATGAGAATAAATTTATGTCACGTCATTTGGATACAAAAATAAAGTAGGATGAATTTTAAGGTTTTTTGATTTATTTTTATATGCGTATTATATATATATATATATATTAAAAAAGTTAAATGATTTTAATAAAAAAATTTAACATATTCTGAATAATTTTTTTTTAACTTTTTTATTAAGTTACTTTTAATATAATTTTTTTTACAATTAAATTTATATGTTTGTATGTGCTACGATTAATTCATTGAGAATTTGATTACAAAAATATGTGCTATAAAAGTTCGAAAAAAAAAAGAAAGTAAGAGAATTTTGATTTTATGAATCATAAAATTTTAGAGGTTTTATGTATCTTTTAAATAAAAGTTTTATTTTTCTTTTGTTGTTTTTATTTACAAAATAATAAAAATTAATAAAAATCATTGGATATTTTTTTGAGTTCAATGCATAAATAATTTATATTAAACTTATTTAAAAATAGATTTAAATATTTTAAAAATCATAATGATAAATAATTAATTAGAATTTAATTAAATCATGGGGGGCGGGAAGGGGGACCGAGGGGCACATGCCCAGATGCCCTACCTCTTTGGCCCCTCCAAAATTTATAATATTTTTTTATTATGCATATCATTTATTTTTTATTAAAATAAAAATATAGTTAATCAGCCTTTTCAGTTTTCATTATAAATAAATATAAGCTAATCACATTCCACATTATATAATTTTGCCCTCTGAGAAAAGCAGGTGGGTAGCAAGTGAATGAGTAAGGGTAAAGTTATAAATTTTTAAAATTGCATCGGACACCTTGATTTTCCCTATTTGAGAAAATGGCAAGGCTGAAAATGCAATTAATAAAATCAGCTGTCCAATTTGTCAATTCAACAATCTTAATTTCTTTGTAAAAATTAAAGATTACATCAATTTTAAAGAGTAATTTAGATATCAATTAAATCGGGCAAAGCATACTATTTGGCATTACTTCTATTTTTTGATTAACTGAAAATGCAATTATTAAAAAAAGTATTGATATAATTGACCCAAACTTTAGGCAACAAAGGTCAGTTAACTAAATATAATTAACGTGTAATCATGCAATGTTAAGTCCCTTGTAATTATTTTATTTTATATTGTTTCAATTATAAAGTTGTTAGGAGAGAAATAATGACGAGAAAAAGTATAAAATTAGTGAAATATATCCAACCAAAAAATATAATTGAAAGAATGCACAAATTTATGTGATCTAGTGGGAGATATACCTGTCATCTCTGTTGGCGGTGGCTCTGACCCTGGACACGAATTTAATCTGGTTCGAGATATACTTGTCATCTCTGTTGGCTCTTGTGGGAGGGGCAGGAGAAGAAGATAATTTATTTGTCTACTGTGCTTTTTCCCTATTGTTTTATCTGGATTGCTTATATGGTTATTTGGTCGTTTTGGAGGATCACCGGATTGAGGGGCAATGATGTGGCTGGGGCTCGTTTCCTCGTCGTCATGCTGGTGGCAACCTTTGGTGATGTTCTCAAACTTGGTTGGATTAATTTGTGCGCTTCCTTCACCTTACTAGACGGTTCGTGCGAGGCTTCGGAGCCTCAGCCGATTACTGAGCCCTCCTTTGTTTTCTTTTAGCCTTTTTTTCCTAATTTTTTGCTCTTTATCTGGTGTAACCCCTTTTTTTATTTTAATATATTAGTTAAAAAAGAATTATGTGATCTAGTCAAAGGCGGTACATTCCGGCAACATGGAACATGATTATATTTAGTTAATTAGCAATGCCAAACACTTTATTACAAAGCTCTATTTATAGTGAAAATAAAGATGTATTTGAGATAAAATTTATTACAATAATACACAATTTGGTATAAGATTTTTCAAAGTTAATAAACGATCTTAATTATGAGATCTCTCAAAGCAAATATATGATATCTTCAAGACCTTTGCATTAATATAATATCTCTAAAATTTTTTTATAGCCCCACAAAACACAGATTTGTCATATGTTATGATAAAGATTTGGCTACAAAGGAGATATTCAATCATATCTTAAATTATAATTAAATTTTTTCTTTACCGTTTCTTAAAGCAGTTTTTTAATACAAAAATTAAAATTTTTATGCTAGAAAGCTGCTTTAAGAAACAGTAAAAAAGCCGTCCCAAGTGAAACCTAAATGTCTCATCCTTCTCTTGATTGGAGAATACCTAATTAAAATATAAGGATTTAAACTCTATGAGGCTAATTCTAATAATGGTGGTTAATGATTTAGTTGGTTTACGACGACGAGTGTCGACAATCATCTTCATAGATTGGATTTAAGCAACATATGATAGTGAATATCAACTTCAATCGAGTACCCACAGATGAACAATTATACTCAATAACAAGATTAAATATTATTTGTATTATGGAGATGATGACGATGATTGTTGTTGACGGTAATAGCTGATGGTGGTCATTGGCGACAATGACTAGAAAATGCAAGAGAGACATTTCTAATTTTCTCTCTTATTTTCCGCCTTTTATATGAAGAATGAGAGTTTATTTATAGATTTTTGGTAGTGACTTGCTGCGTAAATATGAAAAAGAACTATAGCAAACTCAAAATGATCTATGAGATAGTCCATATTGATTCCCTTGCTCATATAATGCTCGTCAAGCATTTAAGTGTCTTAATGATGTCAAAATTAAGTGATCTTGAGCCCATTGGATCCATCTCATCGAGCTGCCCGATTCGACTATAAGCTTGTCATATTTCGAGATTATTAGATTATCCAATTAATATTTTGAAGCTTCCAAATATGCTTTGGTCTTTTGATTTGGGCACAACTGGGCATGAATTGGACCGATTTTGGTGTCGCCGGGTTAGTCACATCAAAATGTTCAATTTGATTGTAAGTTTACTTAAATCAGAGTTTGAAAAGTTTCCAATTCATATATGCATCAAGATTTGCGACGGACTAAACGATTTGCAGCTTAAAATTCTACTGAAATGATAAAAAAAAAAAAGAATCAGCACTGAAACTCCATATTAAGAACTGAAGTTTACAAAGCCAGAGAAGGGATAATTAAATTGCCTATCAGATCAAATTAAACATCCTCAAAGTAATCGATCATTTTACATGCATTTGCAGCTGCATGGACGATATACTTCGTCATCAGAGCGCCCCGAAGGCTTACTATTACGCTCCTCGTACATTCCGGATAAGACATCACAGGCGAAGCCAGCGCCGATCCCAGCGGCCAGATCAATCGTGTAGTGCCCTCTCGTGACTAGTAGTCTGAGCGCCTGAAGGCAGTTGAGAACATCGAAAGCCATTGCAAGCCTTCGCCGCCTCATCCGCCTCATATCCAGCGATGCAATCACCGCCCCGCCCGCGTGGCCGGAGAAGAAGAGGAAAAATGATACGTTGCCCACCGGAAAATCCACTCCAGAGCCCAGAAATCCCTGCAGCAATCATCAATAAATTGGCTCATATATTACTATTTGTTAAATATATTACTTAAAATTTACGGTTTTTAAAAATAATTTTATCCTCTAATTATTAGGCACTGAATTCTTTCAAAAATTTAAGAATTGTAAATTTATATTCATGAAAATTTTGATCGGAATATATTTTTATATTTAAAAAAAAAACTTGTAGTTGAACTGCATTACAAATTGAGAGTCACAGGCCTGTTATTTCTGGAGATGAATTTGTGCTAGCATTGCGTTATTGTTCATCAACATTAATAAAATAAAATAAAATAAAATAAATCCCACCGGCTCATGCCAGCGTGACAAGTTATGAGAGACGAGTGGGCACATGATAACGCCTGCATAATTAAGAATAGTAGTCCCACACAAAGAGCAAATAGCCTTAAAATTTCGTTTGGATAATTTTTTTATTAGTCTGTAAAATAAAGTTTTAGCACAAAAATTTACTCAATGAAAAAATCATCCCGAATGAAGCCTTCGGGTAGAAATCCCTTCATATGATGGAAAATTTATTTCAAGCGGAGTTTAAAATAATTTATGTTTAGAATTCAATAAAATAAAATCACGTGGTTTGTATATAAATTATATATATAATTTGTACATATGACATATATAAAGAGAATTTATACACATCCTGTGTATACAAAACAACGTGATTTCATTTCATTGAAGTTCACAAGCTGTGTACAAATTATACGCAGGATGTGTACAAACAACATGATTTTATTTCATTGGAGTTTGAACGAAAAATTATATTTGAATTCCGTACAAAATAATTTTTCTATATAATGAGAGTGAGGTATTGTTCATGTAATCGTGTTACATATCTTAGTATGAATTAATTTTATAATTAAATATATATTCTATTCAAATAATAACTATTTATAAATTATTATTATACAATCACTTTGTGAATTGATATTCAAATATCTAAATTCATATTAAAAATTTAAATTATATTTTTGACCTTTGTTGCAATTTTTAATAATTTAATTGCAACATACACATATACATATGATTTTAACAGTTTAAAAAGGATAACATCAAAGGTAATTTTATAAATATTTAAAAAATGAATATTACGTATGCAATTCCTCCTAAACTTAAAATAGCAAATTTTATATTATTATTATATTATTTTAAAGATTTGCTAAAGTGATTAACTAACTAATTAGTATTTTAATAATACATTAAAAATTATCTTAGATTCTAAGTATTTTAGGAAAAATGAGACCCGAATTTCCTGACCTAATTTATTTAATATTAAATTAAAAAATTAACATTTTATATTTATATTATATTTAAATAATATAAAATTTAATATTTTTAATAATAAAAATTTTAATTAGGAAAAAAAAAAAAAAACCAACCTGGGGAAGAGGAAGCTGGGTTGCGTAGCCCATCACGCCTCTGCAAGTAAACATGAAAAGCGCGGCAATGGTCGCCCGCGGCCTTCCCTCCACCATTAACGCCCAAACAATATACACCACTTGCATTCCCACAAACACCTGCACCGCACAATTAGATCACCCATATTTCGAACACCAAAGAAAGATACAATTTTTCAACAAATTTCTCACCGTGTTAAGCGCTGCGAGGAAGGAATTGAGTTCAGGCCTCACGGCGAGAAAGCCATGAAATCTCTCAGTGAGAAGGAAGCCGATATCGAGCGGCGGAGAGGAAGAAGGAACCATTCGCAATGTGTACTCGACTCCCATGAAGAATAGCAGAGAGAGGGCTAAGAAGCAGGGGAGGGGATGATTGCTGAGCAAACCCGCCATTTCTTTGGCTGAAAAGCCTTTAATTCCTTTCAAGTGTTCCGGCGTCTTGATCGCCGCCGGCGACTTCGCGGCGGTGGATATCTTGCGAGACATCTTGTATGCAGATAATAAATTTAAGGATTGATAAAATATGGAAGGATATTGGAGGTCTGGCTGCAATGCTAACCTATATATAATTTGGGAAAAATTAAGGTCTAATATACCTTATATAATATAATTGTAATAATAATTTTATGAATAAAATATAAGGTTATTAAAATAACATTATTGAATAATATATCTTGTGACAAAATTAAATCAAAATATAAAAAATTGATTTTTTTTGGGTCTGTGTAATTCTATGGTTGCCGTTTTGATTGAAAAGGAGAGGTGGGTGGTGGGTTGGTGGGGTTTTTAAAGAGAGAAGAAAACAGAGGCAAAGTTTTTTTTTGTGAAGGATATTAGTTTGGAATGCATAGCTGGCTTCTTAATTGTTTACTTATTGTTATAGTTGATCCAATCTGGAGGGAAATGGCACCAATATATTCCAAGGAAAAAAAATTTATGCCAGTTGAAGGATTGCGAGCAATGGAAATTTACAATCAATTTATTTTTTGGAAATTTATACTAGATGCTTAGTATATAGCAACAATAATTTTGAGTTAAGAATGAGAAAATTTAACGTCTTTAGATTGATAAATTATTATGTGCGGACACTAGACTGATTGGAGATGAATGACAGCGCGCCACATCAATCGGTACACAACAAAAAGTGACATGTTATGCTTTTATTTGTCTCCGGACGCCGTCTGGTGTTCACAATAGATTAGAGTGAATGGTGCGAAAAATGATGATGAATAGGATCAATATTCGACGTTTCAGAGTCCAATTCAAGTCCAAGTTGTTATGCACGTTAATCAACGAAAGCAATTTGACTAATCATCATTATTGATAGCAAGGAATTGTGTCATCTAAAGGAAAAGATATTCTGTGCGGACACCGGGCTGTTCGTAGGCGAATCAGAATGTGCTACATCATGGTACACTGACGCAATACACATAAAAAAATGACATGGTACGTTCTGATTCGTATTCGGAGGGCATCCGTATCCGCAGAGAATAATTTATCCATCTAAAGAGACCTTCTACATAGAGTGAGTGTTTATCTAAGAGGTTAATTTTAAGTCAATTAAAATTTAAAATTTGGCACCACATTTTAAATACCTAAAAATTCATATAATACAACACAATCATCATGCTTACAATTAAATATTCCCTAAGTTGTTTATATAATTAAGGGCATGCGTCACATCTCGGTGGTGCTTATTTAGTTCTCGTGGTTTAAAAAAGGCCGTGTGGCTGATGGATATTTTTTAATGCAAAATTAAATTCAAATATTTTTAATTAATTTTCCTATTTTAATAATTTGAACATTGAAGTAAGACAATTGTAGTTTGAGCTAACAAATTATTTATTTAATTCATTTACAAAAATTTAGTCGGGTCGTGCTAAACCAAATGGCCAAAAAATAAATAAATAAATAAATAAAAATAAAAAAATAATAATAAAAAAAAAAAGAGCACAGGTAGCTGCATGATTAGTGGTTACTTGAATTTTGAAGGCACCGAAACAAAAATCTGCATTTACAATGGCTAATTGCTTTCTTGAAATATTAATTATAATTTGCATTTACATGAAATAAAAAAAAAAAAACTGTGACAAAATATTGTCATACAATTTTCAAATGTTAAAAATATTCAAATAAAAATAAAAAATAAATATGATATGTCACCAACATTAAATATGAATCTTGATGTATATTTAATTTGAAAACTTACGAAATTAAATTCACGACCGCTCCTATTCCGGCAAATTTATTGTCAAACATAATATCTCGATGAGACTAAATCAATAATATTAGAAGTGGCCCAATCCGAACTTGAATGAGCTTAGATCAACCACTTGAAGCATAGTTAAAAACTTTTGAACTTTAAATGGAGAGCCAAATGATCTCCAAATTTGACATGATTATAATCAAATCAAACGTCTCGACAAGATGAATCAAAGAAGCCTAATGTTGCTTAGTTTTGGCAACATGAAGGAAATTAAACATTGAAAGAAGATATATGATTGAGTGAATTAATATGAGTAGTTTGATAGAGCTTTTAAGATTTTTGATATATTTATGGGGTATGTCACTCTCATAAATTAATAAATAAGCTCTCACTCTCCACATGAGGGAGGGGCTTAAGCTAAGATTTTGCCTTCAGATTCAAGAGAGCTCAGAGATTCAAACAATCTCGCAACTCCACTTGAGCAACATTGTCAAACGATCATTTGACTATAACAGGGCTGCCATCCAACACCACTTGGCTCTCATCCTTGGACCACCACTCAACCATCACTTTTGAAACACATCCCAACCACTTGATCGGTGTTGTTCGACTGCCAACTGGCAACTGCCATTAGAACACCAACGAAATACCATAATTGGACTACCATTGGATAAACAGTGTTAGACCACCATTCGAACAACATCATCAAGCTAATATTGCTCGAATATGGTCATCTGACTACCATTTTCCGACTATGATCTTCAATAATCGCCACATGACTACATTCCTTTGACCTCCATTACTAGACTACGATCCTCTGATTATCGTGACCCATCTATGATCGTTCGACAATCATTGACTAATTAGGATCTTCAAACCATCATTACTCGACTACAATCCTTTAACTATCATAGCTTGACAATGATCATCTAACCATAGTCTATCGACAATGATCCTCTAAAATTCATCGCTTGACTATCGTCCTACGACCTCCATAACTTGATTACATATCTCAAACTTTTATTTTTCGACTACGGGTAGATCACCATCTTCTGATTGTGGTCCTCCAATCACTGTCTTCTGATTATGATTCTTTCTACAACCATTTCCTAACTACAATCTTTCTAACTATTGTCATTCAACTACAGTCTTTTGACCATTCTCAATTGATTAAGTTCATTCGATCACCGTCGCTTGATTTCATTTCTTTGACCTTCATTGCATTACAATTATACTCAAACCACCAGCACCCGATTATTATTCACCGACCATCATTGCCTGACTATAATCTTATGAGTAGCTTAATGTCCCCCGACTTTTCCATCAGCCATTGCCAATAACCATTGACGCACATCATCGCTAACCTCAAAAGGTTGATGCATGTCGTTGATATTAACTCCTACTTTTGATGTTAACATCAATATTTATGTTGAGTTTCTTGGTCTTTGACCTCCCATCATCAAGAGAAATTGACCAAACAAACATGAAAATCTTAATTGATGAAAACTCCTATGCCGCATAGCTTTTCTAACTTCCATCGTGAAATTCGATATGTACAAGTCATGTCTGCTATATTATATCTACACCTTTCCTAATCACAAAAAGTGCACTATTTGTATCTAATGACAATACAAATGTAATTATTTTAGTTTGGAAAAAACCAATTGTTTTCTCCTCTTCGAGCTTTCCATTTAAAAACTCGAGCATCTCTTGTAACTCCTATATGTGTATTGGATCTTCTTGCAAAGCTAAAATGTTAAATCTCGATCTCTCTACCAACTCTTGTAACTCATATATATATATATATATATATATATATATATAATCTTAATATTATATGAAAATCTTAAATTCACACAAAAAATTTGTCTTTTTTTCTCCTTTGCAGACTCCTAGAGTTGTTATCATCCTATAAGTGCCCAAAGTCTTCTCTTTTTAAGCAAATTGTAATTATCCAATTATCAATTGCCATGTGAAGAGTTGAATGCTGTGGAGCAGTTGTGCTCTGATACCATGAGAATGTCTGGAGCTGAGGCAAAAACGGGAAACAGAGAGAAGACGAGCTGAGACAGGGAAAGAAACAGGGAAATGAAATAATGTATTGATGTCTGTATCATCAATTACAATGTATTATATAGATGAGTTTAAGCAAGATAATCAAGATAGTACATAACGGTACATGATGTAAACCAATAAGTGAATGACAGGTGTCTTAACAATTATGTGCCAAAAAAATTGAGTCAGTAAAGTGTGTGTTTAACATCTTAATGTTGTACAAAAAATTAGCACTCATAGATAAAAATAGTAGGATTAGAAATTCATGAATAATTCAAAAAGGAAAAAACCATGGGGCCCGGCTCAGATGAAAAATCCACTATATATTAGAGGATATAAATCTTTCTTTCTTTACCCTTAGAGATAGGATACGAAATGAGCATATACGTGAAAAGGTTGGAGTAGCTCCAGTAGAAGATAAGATTAGAGAGAGTCGCCTTAGATGGTTTGGTCACATAAAAAGGCGGCCTTCCGACGACCCGGTTAGGAGAGTAGAGGTATTAGATTTGACTTGTGTTAAGAAAGGTAGGGGTAGACCTAAAAAGACTTGGTTAGAAAATATTAGGAATGACCTTTCTTTATTAGATTTAAACGAGAATTTGGCTTTTAATAGGACACAATGGAGAAAAAGGATTCATGTAGCCGACCCCACGTAGTGGGATAAAGGCTTGATGTTGTTGTTGTTGTTGTTGTATATTTTTTTGTATTTTTTAGATGCAAGTCATAAGCTCTAATTATTGATGATCTGATTATATAAATGAATATTAGCTATTAATCAAATTGTAAGGAGAATGACAAATGAATAAAGGGAAAATAGATAAAATTCTTCCGCTTTAGATCCTGAGTCATGACATATGATGTGAGCGCCACGACGCTATGCTTTGACTACTGTGGTATTGTGCTTTAGAGCGCAATAGTGCGAGAAATTTGTCATTGCGGTGTTAAAGACTCTCTTCTACATTAATTTTGGATTCAATATGTTGCGCATAGGGGTGTCAATTCGGGTCAACCCGCCGGGTTCGGGTTGAACCCGACCCGACCCGTATCTAAACGGGTCAACCCGAACCCGACCCGTTTATAAAAACGGGTCGGACATTTCAACCCGGACCCGACCCGGCCGGGTTGCCGGGTTGACCAGACCCGACCCGCGACCCGGCAGCATTCTTCCAATCTCTCTTTTTTTTTTCAAATTTGGCAAACGTGCTCTTCAAAATTGATCCCACCTTGAAGCGACTGGAGACAGCTGTGCAGAAACTTGATAAAATTTCAAGTAAAATTTCAAGTGTTGATACTTTCCTTCATCTTGTAAAACACGCAAAGCAGGACGTGAGAAGCAGCAGCTTTAGCTGCTC